CCAATGGAAATCAGTGAAGAGAACTTTCAAAATTCAGAAAGAGATCAATTGGATAAATGCTGTAAATATTCACTGGTAAGAAAAAGGTATCTTAATTAGATTCAACATCTCATAAGTAGGATGATAGGATGAGGACTGGAGTTGGTAGAGAAATAGATGAGAAACAAAAAAGAGAAGGCCAAATGTGGACAATGCATTCCAGAATTTTTACAAGGCACACTCAGGGTATGATCTCCAACAGAACATGTCCTATCCAAGGTGACAGGAGTGTGTGATGTTCAGTATACATATATGTGTGCCTCTTACGTGCCAAAGAAGTAGATAGGTTTGTCCAAGTGCTTTAAATCCTGCTTGTAAATTAGCTGTATGAATCCTTTTATATCACTATCGCCATTCCTACATGTATATACAAGGCATTTCACTAAGAACTGAAAATATAATGAACCAGCAAGGCATTTGAGCTGTACAGCATCTGGCAATCAATTTGAAGGACTTTGCCACTGAGTTGATCTGTAGTTCTGGTCTCTTGCAAGCCCGTCCCATGTTGTCCTTAAGTTCACAATGGTAGAAAAGTCTGTTTGAGACAGTATATTCCCTGGGCATGTGAGCTCCTAGGAGGAACTTGAGTTTTAGATAAATGAGCTCTGTTGAAGTCCATTCTAGAAGTGGCTAAGTTGACTAAGTGTGTCTTGCATGGGTGCCAAGAAGAAATTAAATGCGAAAGGGGAGAGACCAGAAATATCACTGTGTTGTTTCTATTTATTCAATATATCTTTTTAAATCTTTAGTAGCTTTTATACCCGGCATTGCCCCAGGTGCTAGGCTGGGCAAGATCTGCAATAGATACAGCAGTAAACAAAACAGACAAATATCTGTGCCTTCAAGGAGCTTTCATTTCAATGGGGAATGGGGGAACCACAATACACAAAGCAAATAAGTTAAATATATGATATGGAAGTTGGTGAAAAACCTCTGGGAAAAAAGTAAAGCAGGGAAGGGATACTGATGTTTTTGGGGGGGAAAAGATGAAATATTAAATAGGATAGTCAGTGAGGGCCTCCCTGAGAAAGTAATATTTGAGTAAAGGCCTAAAATTAAGGGATTAAGCCATGGAGATACTGGGGAAAGAGTGTTTCAGGCAAAGAAAAAAGCAAAACATATGAAGGGGGCAAGTCCCTGGAATCTTTTTAGAACAGCAAGGAGACCAAAGCAGTTGGAGAGAGACAAAAAAGAAGAAAGTAGTGAGAGATGATATCAGAGAGATAATGGGGGAAGAGAATACAGTAGAACCTGGGCTAGCGTAAGGATTATGTTGAGTGATTCTGAACAGGAAAAATGGATTCTGGAGTTTACTGAGAGAAGACATCTTAGAATCTTCAAGAATAACATTATTTTCCTACCTATCAGTCTACCCTTTCGTTTGAGGGTGGTGCTTCTGCAAATGACTTCCCTGATCCTCTTGGGCTCACCGTAGGAATCTTTCTTTCTCAAAGACTAGAAAACTTGACTATGCACTTCTCTGACAGAGAAGGTGCATCTGCAGAAGACACATCAAAGGCAGTCTTTGTGCCATCCAGAATGCTCAATGGGAAGAACAATGTGAAAATTGGAAAAAACCTTCTCCAGAGCTTAGGGAGAGAGTAATGCACTGAAATCACGTTCTGTGTGTTTTAGCAAAACATGCATCAGAAAAAAATAAAGCTTTTACATGCGAATTTTTAAGATATTCCAAGACCTTCACTCCTTTGCAACTAAAATACTACCCAATAGATATCATCGCCTGAAACAGAATATAGTTCTTTGGGTAAAGAAAGAGAAAAAACACTGAAGGAAAGAAGTTATCTGTGGATCTTGGGGTGCCATCAATATTATTGGGGCACACCTTCTTGGATATTCCTGAAGTAGTCTTTTCAACTGCAGTTTACCTATTACATTGGTTCAGAGAAGGAATGAAGAATGAGGACAGCTAGGGGCACATGGGTGGCTCAGTGGGTTAAGCACCCGACTCATGGTTCTGGCTCAAGCCATGACCCCATGATCCCATGACCCCGAGATCATGGGATTAAGCCCTGCATGGGGCTCTGCACTCAGTGGGGAGTCTGCTGGAGATTCTCTCTCTCTCTTTCTCCCTCTGCCCCACTCCCCTCCCCCTTCTCTCTCAAATAAATAAATCTTAAAAAAAAAAAAAAAAAGAATGAGGACAGCTAGGTAAAAAGGATTTGACACCACTAACTCTATGGTGGTCTTTCCTATTAGAACCAGTATATGATTTCATACAGTATTCAGTCACAGGTCTGAAAACACTGGCTTTCATCCTGACTAGGCTGTTAACTGGCTCTTTACTATTTAAAGTAAATACTGTCTACCATTTACTGGAACTTAGTTTTCATACTGGAATAGTAAGCAGTTGGATGGGCAACAACTACAACTTTCCTTGTTAGGGAGATCTATGAAAATGAGCTGCCGTGGAAAGAGTTGAGTCCAGGTTATTGAACCAGCTCTATGCTCAGTAATTTATTAGGATTATTTTACCTTGAGATGTTAATTACACAATATTGTACCTCTCTTCCTCTTTTTGTTCTCATAGACATTACAAACAGACCCCAGTACTTTTCCCTATCGAGCCCGTTGGTCAGGGTTGGTCACTATTTATTTATTTATTTATTCATTTACTTGCTTGCTTGTTTGTTTATTATTTTGCACAGTGTCTCAGGCAATCACAGCCAAATAATTGGAGATGGCACTCAAGTTGAAAACAATTTGCTATCCTATCATTAGGGGAACAGTCATAGGGAAGGCAACAGTTCCTAGCATAACTGAGAAGAGCACTTACGTCCCGTCATCCAATTTCTCCCATCCCTAAAGGGTTCTAACATGTCAGCAGTTCCACCAAAGTAAAGTAGTTGCTGGCACCCTGAGCATAACCCAAATGGATCAATTAGCTTTTTAGTAAAGAGGACTACAAAGATAGAATTCATTTCACTTCTTTATGAAGTCCACTTCTAACCTGAGAGGAAAGAAACAAACTCAGACATTCAACAAGTAGCAAAATCAATGACTTCTTGATCTTTGTCCTCCCAGGCACTCACTTTCTTATTACCCAAATCTACAGGAGCTTAGATCAAAAAGTATGTGTTTGTTTCAGTTCCAAAGAAAAGTCCTAACAATGTTATTAAATAACTGTGATGAATTTTAATCTGATGACAGCTTGTGACCCACAAATTGCTGTTTAAAATTAAAATGCATTCAAAATGAAACTGGCAAGACAACCACAATATTAAGCTTGCAATCTGCTGTGAAAAAACACCTATTAAAAGCACGATATTAAATATGAATATAATTAATTTCCATATAGTATCTTGCAATTGAAATCTGAAAATGATAGCCCATCAATGCATTGCCTTATTAATTTCAAATTGGATGAATATTTTTTTCAAATTAATAAGTCAAAGTAGAGACGGATTGGTTTGTCTTTGGTAATACACACTTTGGCAGAGCTCCAGGTAAAATCTAGGGCTACAGACTTCTAGGTTTCTCCTTTGATGAACAAAAGTCCTCTATTTTCCTCATTCCAAATGTTCAGCTACAATAAATTTAGAAATGTTTTCCACCTGCTTAGTTTTAAGTTTATTTATAACTTTTCAGCTATAATTACTCAAGGTATATTAAATGGAATCTTTAGAATTTCTTATACATTAGTTTTTAAAAAATAACTACACTGACATTTTTGATAGATCAGCTAAATCATTCCTAAACTTGTAAGAATTGAGGCTTTAAAAAAAATTTTTTTGGCAATGGATGTTTAGTGTTAGCATTAAACATAATAATGTAAATAAAATTCAACCCAATATGTATTTTTTCATCCCAAGTTTCAACATTTAAAGAACTGTATATGGTAATAAAATGATGCATTTCAGCTGTTTGCAAATAATTTAATGACCAGTCATAGCTATTTGCTAGTTTTCAAAAGGTGCCAAAGAACTATTGAAGATTTCACAATAAAACATCATAATTATAAAAATTAACATGTATACTTAATTATAGACTTAATATTCCTGTGCATGACTTGTTCAAGAGGCAGAATCCATTAAAATGGCATGGGCTAGAAATAAGAAAGTACCATATTTCACTCTCATACACATAGGAAAGGAACTCACCCACTCCTTTTTAAAAGAGACCACAAGAATTGTAATTTTGCAGCCATTATTTTTATTCATTACCCCTGGGACATAATACATGCTCAATAAATGTTAGCTGAAGGAATGAATGAATATGTGTGACTGGGTGACAAGCAAATTCCGGTAAAATATCTAGTCTTTGCTTGCTACAGGGCTACTGCACGGACAACTGCTGTCGCAGTAGGGTGCCTAAAATCTCTGCCATATTCTATTTTGGTACATGTGTGTGTAAAAATGATAAAGGATTCAGTCCAGCAAGTCCTCGCATTGCACAGAGGCTGCATGTATCCAAAAAGCAGGATCTGTAGTGACATTGCATATAAAATTCCCCAGGTACTCCCTAAGGTTTGCTCCCATTCGAAATCTAATATTGCTTCTGATATCAAATATATATTGGGGCACAGTCTCACTGTCACTCTTGGCTAGTCCTCAACAAATCTGTCCCAGGGACAGTGCCTACCCTGGGGTTGTCAGCCTTAAAACTGTGATTGGGTTTTTGTTTGGTGCCCTCGGACGCTGACCATGATGCTGAAATAGAAGAGGGGGTCCTATTTTAAACCTTTCCTTCCTCTTATTGGCTTAGAAAATTCGAGTGACAAGAGCAAGGGCCAAAGGAGCCTGGAGCGGCATCATTAACATGAACCATGTATTTCGATCTTTTGGGCGGAGATGTGGTCCTTCAGGTTGCAACCAGTGCATCTCTGTGAGCTCTCGCTAAACCCAGGGACCTTTTGGATGAAGCCGCTGCAGTAGAAAAGGTTACATCCAGCAGGATGTCTTGTCTGTCTCCTGAAAAATTGGCTGTCAAGTGCATAGCCTAGAAACAGGATCAGGGAGTCTAGATGGAAGGGAAAAGAAGGGGAAGGAAACCCGTGTTCATATTGAAAATGTTCACTATTATTCGTACCAGGTAAGGACAAATCAAGAGCTGATTTTAGCTGAAGTTTTCAGCCTCAGTCTTCCAACAGGTGCACAACTCCCTCGCCCCTTGCCTGTCAGTACTGTCCTGCTTTCTACGGCTTTCTTGGCGAGGCGAGCTTTTCCTAGAGTCGTCAAGCATGTGCAGTTTCCCATCTCATCCACAGCTCCAGCTCTACGCCCCGCAACCCCTTACCTGCAGCGAGAAGATTAAGAAGCAGGCACAGCGCAAGGAAGCCGACTGTTGTCTGCATAGTGCTTGCATTGAGCGGTGGAGGAGGAACTCCGCCACGACCCCACTTGAGGCAAAGTGTGATTAGAAAGAGCCACCGCCGAGGGTCCTCTGGTCTCCGGGTTTCATTCTGGGTCCTGGCTGGGTTTGCAGAGCGGTCTGTGGCGCCCGCAGAAGCCCCCACCAGCTTCGCCTCCCGAAGAGAGGGAGAGGAGGGGGAGGAGGAGGAGGAGGCGGTGGCTGGGAGGGAGGTGGAGCAGGGCAGGGGCGAGGCGCTCGGAGGCGGCTACTGCGCGGCCTTCTGGAAGCCCGCAGCCGCGGCGGAGAAGGCGGGGTAGACTCCCGCGCCAGCCCCGGAGCCCTCCGCGCGGGGCCAGCGCAGCGCCAGCGGCAGCCAGGCGCGCCGCGCCTACTGAGCATGCCCAGCGCTGCCCGTCGCGCCGCACGGAGTTTCGAAGTGAAATTCCACTTCTCCGGGTCTTTGTGGCGGCTGCGAGGGGGGCAGGCTCCTGCGCGGGGGGCTGGCTCCTCGGTGGGGGACGTCTAGCGGTGGTTATTAGGGAGAGTCGGTCAACGACCTGGGGGTGGGTGGGGAGGGATCGACGAAGGCCTGACTGGAGGACCCACAGGCCCTCAAGACCCACCCGACTCCTTTCCTCTCCACGTGGACAGAGCTCACGGCTGGCCGGAGAGTGACCAGCTTCCTCGGGCTGCCTGCAGGAATAGACTATTCCGTGGTATCGTCCGCTTGCTGAGCTTGCCGAGCTTGCTGAGGACCCGCCGCGGTTGCCTGGGAAAACGTTCCCCAGAGCACCTGCTCAGCCCCCTGCCTGGGGTGGGGTGGGGGGGAGGGAGGAGGGGTGTGCCTTCTTCCTAACAGCTCTCCCCTTCTCTTTCCTCTCTCTCCAGCGCAATCCCTGTATTTAAACTTTCTCCTGACTCAAGCCCGAAGTCTGTGACCATAGTGACAGAAAGAAGTCAGGCCATCCTTTTAGACTAGTAGGATATATCCATGTAATTGAGGTAATCATCTTTAGTCTCCATTTTACTTTCTAAGGTAAAAGGTAATAGAATCACCTCTGTAACTGGGCTCCTCTGGTCCAGCTCTGTGTCCCTACAGCAGTCTGTTTAATAGAGGTGGCCCCCCATCCCCATCCAAGACTTTGTAGTGTGGAAATCCTTATATTAGGCTAGTGGCTAATTACTCCTAATCATAAAGCCCCCCGGCCAGACCTCTCCCTTAAACCATCCCAGGAGCCCTGACCTTACTGCTTCTGTGTCTTCATGGGATGCCCTCGCCCCTTGCACTTTCATAAACACCACACTCAAGCTGACAAAGGTCTACCTTGGTCTCACTTTTCCAGAAAGCCCTGGCCCAACTCCAGATTACAGTGATAATTATCCTTTCCACACACGAATGTACACACAACATTTGCTTAGCATTGCCTCATTTTTTTTTTTTTTTAGATATTCGTCTAGCTGTGGTTTGTTCTACGACACAGTTGAAAGCTCCAGAAGAACTTCTGCCTCTTTATATCACTTAAATTGAATAAAGCCTTTCTAGGCAAATAAGAGGTACCAATAAAAGCTTGTTGAACTGCATATCTCACTTAATGCTTTCTTCCTCCATCCACTCCAAATTGGGACAATTAATGGGAAATATGTTACCCATAGAGCTTAAATTAGGCAAGATCTCAAGATCTGATCAGTCCAGCCGTGTCATTTCCTTTATGATTTATTTCATCTCCAGCGCTGAGAGACAAAGCCAGGAATTGCACTGAAGCAGGTGGGAGAAGGGAAGAATGATATATATTTTTAATATTAGATAGGTCTTCGATGCTGAAAATAGAAATATATGCAGCTTCATTTCCCCACCCCTTGACGTCCCTACTTGGGTGTGCCTTGCACCCTTTCTGTGGTACTACCACATCACCTAAAACCACTCTAAGCTGCAACCTCTTCCCCTACTCCGGATTCACTTTGCCCTGGTCTCCTCTTCCCGTAGTGTGTATCACTTTCTAACATACCCAAAGAATTACTCATTAAATCTGTCATATATTGTCTGCTTCCCTATCCTGTTCCCACTCCCAGCAGTGGAATCTGACCTAAAATGGCAGAGATCTTTGGCAATTTCATTCACTGATGCGTCACGACTGATGGGAACGGTGCCTCTCACAAAAAAGGTGCTCAAAAAAAAAAAAAAAAAGAATAAATTAAAAGCAACTGGTTGACAAAGGTCAATACTGACCATTAGCCCTGCTCTTTGGACTCATACTAAATAGATATTCGAGAGAATTTATTTAGCTGTGTTTAAAACTTACAGCAGTAACCCTTCTCATCTAACATCTGGGACTAGAGTTGCTGTATAGAGTTAGGGGAGATGACAGTAGCCCACTTACAATGGGTGTGCTTCTTATTTTCTTCCTTCCAAAAAACAAATGAACAAAAGCAAAACAAAATGAATTACCAAACTTACACAGCTCTCCCAGAAGAAAAGGCAGGTATGGTAATGAGATAATGCTGCAGCCGTGTCCTGAGCCCTTTGCTCTCCTACAGATAATTCCAACATTTTTGGAGGAAGGGGAGGAGCATTTCAAGTTTCAAATAATGTAATTGGCTGTGACTTTGCCAACAAGCAGTCAGCTAGCTATTTATTTTGCCCAGGGGTACAGGTAGCTGAATTATTAAACTGTGCTTGAAAATCCCCTTAACAGCACATTTTTCCAATTTCCAATTTGACTAGATATACTATGAAAATAGTTCAGCATGGTAAAAATAACCTCGAGTGAGCTATAATTTTGGTGACTGGACATTCATTATTAATTTACTTGAAGAGGATAAAGGAGTGAGAAAAATTCATATTCCTTGGTGAGTCGATCTAATATACTTCTAATGGATTTGATCCCACGACATGTGAAGTCAAAGAACAATAAGTGAATTAGCCAATTAGTGAAAAAGGCAACCCCTTAACTCTTTGAGAAATATTCCCTGTGAGTCCGTAGATGCTGCTTTCCCTTGACTCTGTGATCTAACACTAGTGAAGGCAATTTTGGTGTTCTGCTGAAGCTCAGTTAAAACACTGCATCAAGGGCGCCTGGGTGGCTCAGATGGTTAAGTGTCTGCCTTCGGCTCAGGTCATGATCCCAGGGTCCTGGGATCGAGTCCCACATCGGGCTCCCTGTTCCTTGGGAGCCTGCTTCTCCCTCTACCTCTCTCTCTCTGTCTCTCATGAATAAATAAATAAAATCTTTAAAAAAAAAACAAAAACAAAAACACTGCATCAAGGTTTTAAAAATTAGTTCCAATTCAGAGAGCCATGGAAATTAATACGAGAGTACCATAGAAATTAGTACAGGCCCATAGAGCTCTGTCCTAAAGGATATAATTTACATTTTGAAAAATAAATGGAAAGGGGCGCCTGGGTGGCTCAGTCGTTAAGTGTCTGCCTTCGGCTCAGGTCATGATCCCAGGGTCCTGGGATCGAGCCCCGCATCAGGGTTCCTGCTCTGCAGGAGGCCTGCTTCTCCCTCTCCCACTCCCCCTGCTTGTGTTCCTGCTCTCGCTATCTCTCTCTCTGTCAAATAAATAAAATCTTTAAAAAAAAAGAAAAGAAAAAGAAATGGAAAATTAGTAACACATGGACTTTTCTTCCTCAGTAAATGTATAATCTCTGTTTCTTAAAAGATGAGATTCAGGGAGAATTTATACAGAAGAGAAGCCTTTTAAAACTTTTCCTCAAAACAAATTTAACTGTTTTGAGCTTCCACATTAACTTGTCTATAAATGGATGATGATTATTCATGCTGGCCATCTTTCCTTAAAACACTTTGTAAATAGAGAAATTAGATCTACTGACTGTTAGTTTCCTACCTAAGTTATTTAGATTACAATTATTATTAAATGTAATGGTATCTAACATTGATTGAATGTTTCCTATGTGACAAGCTCTGTTCTAAGCATATGGATGTCCCCTTTAAACTTTAGAATATCCCCACAAGGAGGCATTGCCATCACCTCATTTTAGAGATGAGACAGTTGAGGCACAGAGAAGTAACTTGCTCAAATATCAAGTAGTAAGTAATCAACCAAAAGGTAAGTTGGTAAAGTTAGAATGCAGGATCAGATCATTTGATTCCAAATCACGATGCTATACTACTGCATATAAAATAAGTATATATGGTGTCAGTTGTAGATGGCTCCGTGTAATTAGATGGAGGGCAGAGCAGGAGCTCCTGACCCTAGATCTGGCAGTAAACCTTGTGCTGAGAAACACCCATATGAGAATGTCTCCAAGAGGATGAAACACAGCTCATGGCAGTAAACTCTGGGATCTAGAATCCAGTGAACAAAGACAAATGGCAAGTAAAACCATGCTTCAAAGAACCATAAGAGAAGGATGTTTGAGGCAAAATAGAGCAGAATAGAGGAAATGATCTCTTCTGGGGAGGGGGCAGCAGAGGTGGGGACAAGTAGCAGGCAGGAAACTATTAGCGAAGAGTAGTAAATGAGCTGAGTCAGTCTAGATAAGTCGGTTCCAACTGCTCTACATTTAGAGAGAGGCCGTGAGACACGAAATAGTGAAATGGATTCGAGGAACACCTGAACGTGTGCAGGAACAATGGGGGACAATGACCAACACTTTACTGAGATTTGTAAAGTGTTTCCCCTGCCCCATCCTTTACAGAGTCACTTTATCAATCCCAAAGTCTTTTTCCCTTTTGTCTGAGAGATATCTATGTATAAGAGAGAAAAAGAAGAATAACAAGTTATTTTTACATAGTAAAGAATTGATGTCAATTAAACTATATCCAAAGTGATGTGAATTAAACTATATTCAGCATGAAAAAGAGTGAAGTGGAAATTCATGGGTGAAGATACCATGTTCAGGTGTCTAGAATCATCATTAATTTTTAAAGTATTCTCTCAACCGTACAGGGCAGAACAATATACCCTTCTATATGAACATACAGTGCAGAAAGCAGTGAAATAACAAAAGGACACTAAGAATGGGAAGGAAAAGCACTAAAATTTACAAACTGTATGTTATCACATTGGACTCTTACAAAGAGCTCTTATGGGGTATTATTCCCTTTTTGTCATGAAGGAAGAAACTGAAACTCAGTGAGGCTAGTAATTTGCCCATGGCCATTTAGTTGGTAAGTGGTAAAGCTGGGATTAGAATTCTAGAGCCCTAGCAATATGGGGCTAACAACAATGTTGTACTGCGTCCCTGATTAGTGAAAGCATTTACTTTGTGGCTTACATGGAAAACAGTATTTTTAACCCAAGAAGCAGACTTCAAGATTGATTGATGACAATTAAAATTTACAACCTAACACAGCTTTAAGAGTTATTTATTTGAAGTGTTTGATACACACATAGACACACACACAACAATGTCTATTCTGGGGCGCCTGGGTGGCTCAGTTGTTAAGCGTCTGCCTTCGGCTCAGGTCATGATCCCAGGGACCTAGGATCGAGCCCCGCATCGGGCTCCCTGCTCTGCGGAGAGCCTGCTTCTCCCTCTCCCACTCCCCCTGCTTGTGTTCCCTCTCTTGCTGTGTCTCTCTCTGTCAAATAAATAAAATCTTTAAAAAAAACAAACAAACAATGTCTATTCTAAGAAAAAAAAAATTTGGTACCCAAAATAAGACACGTTTTTCTATACATATGTGAAATATGCTATCCTAGTAAAACATAAAATAACAAAGACAGAAAGCATATGGGTGCCTATGGATTCCACTATTGGTTCATCATTAAAATTTTATTCAAAATGAAGTATGAACTTTCCCTGGAGCTAGCCCTTGGTCCCAATGCACTGTATTGTCATCTTTCCCTTCTTTCCTTCTGACACTGCGAAAGTCAGATTCATCCAAGATGTCAGTAATAGATTTACAAACTGCTGATTCTCCTGCATTAGCTCTTTGTCCATCCCAAGACACTAATTAGGCTGCACTTACACCATCCATCATCCTGAGCAGCA